AGTACTATTACGTGTTTGCCACGACAAATCAATCCTAGCTCAGTGACGAATGCATCGTCCGCACCATCCTGCTGCCCCAGAGGTCTGTACATCAAAGTTATATGGAGATTCGATTGGTTTGAAACTCTCAAGTAACAGCTTTATGGTAAGTCACTAACATACCTTGGTAAGTCAAAATGCGACTGCTCAGCCGTGCTGCCCTCTGTTTGCTTTTGTTGTGACCAGGCGGTGTGAATGTGTAGCATGTGAGCTACACGTTAAATCGGATCGTAATTTAAAGGAAGAAGACGGAAGGACCAGAGTGAGGGGTTTATTTTGCACAGAACCCGAAGTTATCCTCTCGGGCGGCAGTGCCCACTGGCGAAGCCAAGGCTGATGCTGACTGCGTCCAGCCAGGCCTGAGAGTCCCTGAGAAAGTCATGGAAGCCGCTTTTTTAGGCTCGTGGACCAAGCTCAAGTTGTCTCCAATCGGTGTGTGTTGCATTTGCGAGGGATGGTGTCCCAGTGGCTTGTTTTGCTGGTTGCAGGGGGGTAGCGCGTTCAAGTGGCGCATGGGTGGCCGCGACGCTGTGGGGACGCAGGTATGCCCGAGCTGTCGGTCGTGTGACTTCAGGTCGGCGCGCCTGCAGCGGCTCACTGCAAAGTCGTGAATGACCTTGAAGCAACGAGGTCTTAAACAATGACGCCAGACAGGTCATGGTGGCTGGCCGCCACACTTTCTACTGGCCATTCTCTGTTTCTATTTTCTTCAAATGCGGCAGAACGTTTCTCATTGTTTCGCGTTAGTTCCTTCTCAGCGGGATTGTAGTGGTACAGGTAGGCCGTCAGTGGGTGTCTAAGAAGCTGCCGATCTTTCATACTCTGGCAGTTTGTCCCTAACCTGATCTACTTTCAGATTTTTCTTCGGAGCCTTGGTTGTTAGTCCATCCTCGAGAATCGTACGGCTTCTTGTAGATAAACGCCGGCACATCTACCTTTTCGGACGCCGTATAATTAGTGAGGATTCAGTTTCAGTTTATTTGAGGGAAATATAGATGTTGAACCTTTGAACTCCCTATTTGTTATAAGGAAGCGAACTATATCAAAAATTTGAAAATGGAGACATCAAACATCTACAGAGTTTCTTCAGACTGGCAAAGTTTTCGAAACCAAACAGATAAACGAATTGTTCCAAGAGTAAAAATCATTAACGTTACTAAATGTGCTGTGCAGTAGTCTATGTACGGTCGGTGCTATCTCAGTTTCTGAGGGAGACTAATTAAATGCCACCACACATTCAACAGACTTGGGACAATAATAAAAATAACAAACGTTACTGAAATACAGGCAGTAATACAACAACATTAACAAAGTGTTCGAACGAAATACTAGACGCCGCCAGTCAGGTGGCTTTACGACTTTTGGTGGTACACTGGTCCAACTTGCGCTTAAAAGCCTCGACGGAGATGGGCATGACGACATCTGCAGGCAGAGCATTCCAAGCCTCCACCACTCCGTTTGAAAAGAAGAACTACCGCATGTCCAGCCTGGCGCCAGTCACAAGTAGTTTAAGTGGATGACCTCGGAGGTTCGTTGTGGTCGCTAACCGAAAGAAATCAGCAGGTTCGATGCAGCAGTCCGGCCACGCATTATACGGAATGTTTGTATAAGGTCGCCTCTGAGCTGTCTGTAACTTAGTGGAAAGAGGCCGAGATTGGACAGTCGTGTTTCATAGGGTAGTGAATCCTGTCCACTTACGAGTTTGGCTGCCCGCCTTTGAACTTTCTCAAGGATACTGAGACCTTTAGAGGTCCAGGGTTTCCACACCTGAATAGCGAACCCTAGCTTTGGCCGTACAAAAGTCCGAAAGATCTTAACGAAGCAGTCCTCATGGAAGGTAGAGAAAGCTCTCTTGACATGATAAAGGACGGATATCGCGGACTTGGCTACCTTGGAGCAGTGGAGCGACGGTTTTATAGAAGCCGTTACCCACACACCCAAGTCTTTCTGGGCGTCTACTTCCAGCAGTGGTATGCCATTTAGATGGTTAACCTTCCGGCTCAGAGATCGGGTCCTGCCGACTCGCAAAATATTGCACTTAGTCCCATTAAACGGCTAGGCCAGTCCTGTGACAATTTCTGGAGTCGGGTCAGATCTGCCCGCAAGTGCTCTTCGTCAAATTCAGTTCGGATGACGCTCCAAAGTTTAACATCATCAGTGAACATGGCGACATCACAATTCAGTTCACTGATGCAGTCGTTGACGTATATAAAGAATTGGGTAGGGCCAAGAACGGAGCCTTGTGGAACACCGCTTTCAACCGCTACCTCCGCCGACTGCCTGTCACCGACGTGGACGATTTGAGAGCGACCAATCAAGAAGCTTTGCATCCATCTCAGGAGATTACCCCTTATGTCTGTTCGGCTTAATTTGTGCAGGAGACGCTGATGTGGTCTATAGTAGAATGCTTTCTTAAATTCGACGTAGACTGCGTGCACTGCATTGCCGCCATCGACTGCCCGGGTCCAGCGATCTAAACAATAAAGTAGATTTGTCACGCATGATCTGCCTCCACAAAGTCCGTGCTGGGCATCGCATAGCAGATTATGCTCTTCTAGGAAGTGCATTATTTCTCACTTAATTATTTTTCCATAATTTTCAGCAAGTTGAAGCAAGGCTTACTGGTCTGTAGTTGTTTGCTAAGACCTTGCTGCCGCCTTTATAAATTGGCGTGATCCGCGCGGATTTCCAATCAGCGGGCAAATAGCCTGCTTCGAACGAAGCTTCGAAGAGCATGGACAGCGGTTCAGATAGTTCTCCAGCAAGCTCCTTCAACAATTTGGGTGGTATGTCATCCGGTCCAGGTGATTTAGACTCATTCAGCGTCAGCATTTCTTTGCGAACAACAGCTTCGGCGAAAGAGACGTGCTCAATCGTTGGTTCATCCACTATGTCGCAGTCGGGAGGGAGAAATGCGCTTTCCTTCGTAAAGATGGACTTAAAAAATTGTGAAAGGTGCTCTGCCATTTCTCTGTCTTCCCTGAGTTCTAGGTCGTCACTAGTTTTCAATAACGGGATCGGGTCTTTGTTTCGTGTGCTTCTTCTTATATAACCATAGAATAACTTCGGATTTTCTGCAGCTCGATTCAGTAGGTCTTTCTCGAAAGTACGCCGCGTGCCGAGGATTCGCCTCCTAGCTAGGTTCCTCTGTGCTTTTTATGCATTTATCGACACATAGCTCCTACCCGAGAGGAATTTTCTCCATAACCTCCGCTTTTTATTCACTTCTTTCTTTAAAGCTTGTGTTAGCCACGGCGGCCTGCTGTTCAGTTTCTTCCGTGTAATAGGACAGCGGTCTCTGAGAAGAACGTGCAATAACCCACTTAACCAGTCCCAATCCTTGATTATGTCATCGGAAAAAGCTGATTCCCAGTTTATGGTGCGTAGTTCAGCTTTCATTTGGGCAAAGTTACCGTGCCAAATGTTCCTTCTAACCGTGGTGACTTCTTCGGGCGGAGAAAAAATGGAGTACTCCCACAACAGTACGACGTGGTCGCTTCGACCTAGGGGAGGTAGACATTGCATCTCATCAATGTTGTCCAGTGGCTTCGTAAGGAGCAGATCCAGACAATTTGACTGTTGTCCTTCGCGCAACCTCGTCGGAAAAGAGACGCACTGTGAGAAATAACCTGAGGGTCATGTCCAGCAAACGTCGATCGAAAGCATGGTCTGGACCAGATGCATAAGCTGAACTCCCGTCGATAGGAGGTGCGTTGAAGTCCCCCATGATTAAGACGTCGGACCGGATAGAGAATCTCTCCAGATCCTCAATCAGACGGGCGTCCGCCGTCGGATCATTTCTCGTGGTCGGTAGACCGTCAGGACCTCAAGGTTCGGTGAACCCGGTGCTTTTATAGTTAGCCAAATTGCCTCAGAAGTACACGAAAGTTTATCTGTTTTGTCTGAGACCATAAGCCCGTGTTTTACATACGCGAGTACGCCTCCGCCCTGATGCCCTGACCTGTCTCTTCTTCAGTAGAGCGCAGAAGCTGGAACAGGCTCCAAAAGGCGGATTTCGTACGGGAATTTTAACTCGGTGCGTGACGGGGTTTTGGTTATATGGCCGGGATAATGACTCCAAATGGGATAATTTAACTATTAAGAGACAAAATAATGAAAGTTGAGAAGCAAAACTGAGACAGACATGGAATTATCACGTCGCACCCAACGATCATAATGATTGCGCAGTACCACGTCGACGCTTGAGCGTAAATGAGGATTCTTTTGATGATTGTTTTATATTTTACTATCCGGACCCCGCCATGCGTTGTTTTGGCAGTGTCTGATGAAACGGAAAAGAAAGAATAGAGTAGGTGTGCATGTCTGACTAATGTAGTTAGTTGGTAGACATTTATGTTGTTTGCCGCTGGAATAGCTTGTTCGCTCAGCCAATCATGGTTGGTGCAATTAGTCTGAATATTGGGAAACACCTTTTCAATCAATTCTTCTTCTGAAAACTAAATTACCGAAGATATGAGGTCGTGAAAGGTGTCCCGAAGTCGGATCAACGGTACTGTTCCGTTCCCGATTGCCAGCAATTGGTGTGAGAATATCTCAGCTGATTGGTCGTTTTTCGGGTTGGACACGCATATTTGTAGTTAATGTTACCGTCTGGAATTGACACCACAAGGCGGAGCATTTCAGACAGGCATTTATTCCATCCGCTGTTGTCGATCGAGGAATTACAGGCGATGTTTAACCGAAGTCTCTTGCAAGCAGTAGCAATCGTCTCCAAATGTTCTACTGTTTCCGCACAAATCTTGCAATGATTGAGCAAGCGCCTCGAGCACATTTTGTGCACCATTGTACATTAATCCCAAACAATAAGTTTACATTTCTGCAGTACTTTTCCCATGCCCGATGCCTTGGGAATGTTGCACATAGGAGATTTCATGAATTCACGTTCAAAGGCAATTTCAAAGCAGAATGAGCAGTTTATCCGCCGTAGAGCACGGTCGCAGCTATTCCAGACGACGCAAGAGCAAGGTCATGTAATTTTTTGATTGAATTTCTGCCAGGATTAGCCTTAGTAGGAGCGTCTTGCCAGTTCCTCCTGGCGCATCTAAGAAGAAGGTTCCTCCAACCCCGTCATTGACAGCCCGCATTATTTGATCGTAAATGCCATCCTGCTCCAGTGTTAGCTGGGGAATGTTTGGCTGCAGGTGCCACAGAAGATCAACCGTGCTGTAGTTTAGCTGACAGCGCAAATCCACATCTAACGAAGCAGCAGCAGCAGCAGCAGCAGCAGCAGCAGCAGCAGCAGCAGCAGCAGCAGCAGCAGCAGCAGCAGCAGCAGCAGCAGCAGCAGCAGCAGCAGCAGCAGCAGCAGCAGCAGCAGCAGCAGCAGCAGCAGATCGGTTTGGTAATGGCACTCCCAGCTGACTGAGAACTGTGTTCCTTATTTCTATGTACACATCCTCAATCATTATTAACGCCTCGTTGTACATTTCTGTAGCCAAATCTACAGCTGAATTTTCTTTGCGTAGTCGGCGGAAGATATCTCTAGCCATGCACATGTACTATTTCTCCCAAAATTCTTTTGGAGTGGCAGGAAAGCAGGCAGTCAATATGATTGCAAACAATGCACAAATTTGATGCGGATGGGACGTGTTGCACGCGTCATTAGTGCATGCATACCAGTGTCGGTCGTTTTTCAATAAACTGAGAGCCTAATATACGCTGCGGAAAGTGGCATTTGTAACGCCGTTGACAATTCTCAATTGCTGGAAAGACGTTGACCGGCCACATTTACCAACAGCGTGCGAAGAAAGAAGCATTGCTACTTTTTACAATGCACGGTGCACCGTCTGCCTGTCGCAGTTCCTTTGAATATGCCGGGTTGTCCGCCGACTCACTCTCCTCGTTTTCGTCGTTCGAAAGATTTTCTATACGCATTCCATGTGTAATAGGTAGGCACTGTTTTCGCAAACGCGGGGGGAGGGGGTGTTGATACCTGCATCCAGTCATCACGCAAAAGAATCCCAGACGAAGTGGTGACAACTCCACCAATGTGGGTTGTGAGGCAAGTTCAAGTTTCGTCCAAGAGTTGCGTG